CAAACCCCTGACAAAAAAAAAAAAAAAAAAAAAAAAATAATAGGAATAAACTAAATGAGAAAAAAAAATAATAGGAAACAAGGAGATTGATCTTTTGCAAATGGAAAGAGAACCAAGATATGGAGAGAAGGGGAGAATAAAGATGGGTTATGTACATGTACATATACTAACTCCCATAGTGAATGTAATCATTACTATTAATGTGCTCATGTGTGTAAATACACATGTACACACACATCACACACACAAAAAATGAAACTTATGCCAGGTATAATCCCAGATACTCAGGAGACTTGAGGTAGGAGGATCTCAAGTTCAAGGATAGACCTGTCCCAAAATAAAATGAAAATAGGGGAGGGATGTAGCTCAGTGTTATCTGGGCTCAATGTCTACTACAGTTAAAAAAAAAAAAAATCTAAAGCATGTGTAGACATATTTTATTCCTTTCACAAAAATTAACTCAGTGGATCATAGACCTACATATAAAATATAAATTAGAATTCTTAGAAGATAACAGAAAAAAATTCAGTGACCTTGGATTTGGTGATGTTTGATATAACATCAGAACCATGACTCACAAAAGAAAAAATTGGTAAGTTGAACTTCACTAAATAAAGACTTTTGCTCACAAAGGATACTTAAGAGAATGAAAAGATGAGCCACAACCGGGGAGAAAATCTTTCTCAAATATCTGATACTCTTAATTGAAAAAATACAAAGAACTCTAAATTGCAACAGTAAGGAAAGGAGCTCTCTTAGTTATAGTAATTGCAGATACACAACACAGAACACTCAAAACTATAAGAAGCAGAGGCTTATTTTAGCTCAGTTTGTAGAGGTTTCAGTCCATAGCTGATTCCAAAGCAGGGCAGTATGGCAGAAGGGACTGGCAGAGAAGAAACAGCTCATCGCTAGGCACCAGGAAGCAGAAAGCAATACAAGGAGGAGGTAGATAGACCCTTCTAGGCAATGCCCCAGTGACCCACCTCCTCCTACCAGGCTTCACCTCCCTACATCACATTTAGTGATAAACTCATCTGCAGAGGAATTCACTGACAAGTATCACGCACTCATGATCCAATAACCTCCCAAAAGCACCACCTATGAGCATATGAGGTTTTGGGGGATTCATCTAAATCTAAACCACAACACAAGCCAATTCAAAAATGGGCAAAAAGTCTGCACAACTCCCAAGAGAGAGAAATGAGCACATGGAGAGATACTTGATGTCATTAGAGAACTACAAATTAAACACTGAAACCACTCTCTGCCTAGTAGAAGGGTTGAAATCCAAAACAGAGCCAATGCTAGATGCTTGCAGTATGTGAAGCAGCAGAAATAGTGCTGCTGTTGAGGATGCAGAGTCAGCGGAGTACGGAGGGTAAGAATGTGGCAGCTACTAGATACACAAAGCACTCTCTGACCATATGATCCAGCATTCCCTGGTTTATCCAAATGAGCTAAAAAAAAAAACTCACATCCACACAGAAAACCTGCACATAAATGTTTACAGCAGCTTTCTCCATAATTTCCAGAACACGGAAGCAATCATGATGCCCTTCAATGGGCAAGGGTAAATGAACTGCAGGTTGTCTGTGCAGTGGAGTATTTTTCAGCTTTAGAAAGAAATGAGAGCCATAGAGACACATGAAGATTGGGAGGAGCAGAGAGAGCAGTGCTGAGCAGAAGCCAATGTGGAAAGCCCACTGTGAGATGAAAACTATACACCTTGGGCTTTGCTCCCAGATTTTCCTGAGGAGCAGGAGATGTGACACAACTCTAGATCCTTTGGAACTTCCTGGGTGGAAGAAACACCTTGTCCTAACAAGGGATTCTTGTGGGTTTCTGGAGGGAAGGTGGTCTGCAGAAAGACCAAGCCATGATTAGAGATTTGGACTCAGTCCTTTGCCGTTCGCTGCAGCAGAGAGAGGGCCTGGGAGTGGAGTTCATAAGAACCATGCCTATGTGATGAAATCCTCATATAAATACTGAACCACAAGCCTCAGGAAACACATCATGTGTCAAGAGTGTGGAGACTCAGCAATACCACTGCTCAGTTTGCAAATGAATTAATGAATCCAGTCCACATATACAAAGACACCTGCACATCCATGTTTATAGGAGCACAATTTCAATAGCTAAGTTATGGAATCAGCTTAGATGCTCATTAATGGATGAACCAGAAAGAAAATGTGGTGTATATACATGGTGGAGTATTAACCATAAAGAATAAAATTGCAGCAAAATGAATGGAACTGATGATCATTATTAAGCGAAATAAGCCAGACCCAGAAAGACAAGAATCACGTTTCCTCATATGTTCTTATGGCTTATATCTAAATGTCCTCCCAGGGCCTCATGTGCTCCTAAGTGGGGCTTTTGGGAGTGACTGGATCATGGGTATGATACTGGATCATGGTGTCTGATACTGGCTTAGCCCAGCAATTGGTTTGGCATAGTTCTAGGTGTGCATGATTGATTTACTGAAGAGGAAAGACCCAACCTCAGGGTAGATGGCACTAATCAATAAACTGTCAGCCTGGATGGAATAAAAAGAGAAAGAAGGAATGCTCAGTGCTTCCTGCCTGCCATGCCATTAACGGTTTCTCTGTCATGCCACCCTGCTTCAGAGCCAGCCAACTATAAACTGAAACCTCTACAAACTGAACTAAACCCCTTTCCTCCTTTTACTTGTATATGTCCAGTATTTCATCCCAGCAAAGAGAAAGTAACTAAGACATATGCAGAATCTGGAAAATAAAAGATGACATGAAAGTAGAACAGAGACTACAAGAGAATGGTTATGTGGAGAGCAGGGCAAGCAAGATCATGGAGGGGACAGCTGTGATCGAAGTGTGTTATACACAACTGTGACTTGCCACAATAGATCCGTTGGTCTGTGCAATGTACAGGGCCTAAACTTACCAATAATAAGGTGGAGATTGTCAGACTGTATTATGTTAAAAAGACCCAAGCACATGCTTGTTATAATAAACTCACTTAGCATAAATTG